TATTTTGGCAACAATGTAACATAAGGTTATTTTTTTTATAAATATTTAATTTTAGATTCAAATTTTTTTAAAATTATTTTAATAAGTGAATAATACGTAGTGGACTTTAAAAATAAGGTAACTCAAACATTTTTTTTTTATAATTTCATTTAACTTTTTTTTATGTACATACATTTAGGCGTATTCGAATATTTTTTCAGTACTTCTAAAATTTGGTAGAAATTAGGAAAATGAATTCACATTACAAAAAACATTTTCATGATGCAGAAATAAGCGAAGGGTGGTTTTTTAAGAGATTTAATCCAGCTCTGAATTCCAAAAAATCGTTTTTTTTTTTTGTTTATACATACATATGTATATTAATTAGAGCGGATAATTTTTTCCTGTAAACTACTTATTTTTCCTTTCTACTTATCGTTCTGAACACCTTTGCCTAAGAGAATATTGGTCTAAAATTACATTCGAACAGGAATTTTTAAGGCGAAGTTTAAAAAATCTGAATAATCGGTTTTATAGCAATGGCATATCTCCTACATAATCATATATTATATAATTGTCCGATTTCGACAAATAATCAAACTAATATCAAAATACATGTAAGTATTAAATTTCATTCGGATATCTCAGAAATTGACACTTTTTTATGATCCTTCGAAAACTTCGACTTAAAAATCGCTCGTTCAATGTTTTTATTTTTGGCCCCCTGTAAATCAACACGCTTTAATGTATAACGAATGTGAGAATTTGAGAATATTTGAAATCCATTTGGCAAATAATTTCGGCGAAAATAAATAGCATATTTTTAGATTTGTTTTACCTTAGTGAAATCAGCTCCCAAAGGAATTTCTCCGAAACGGCAAGATCGATTGGCTTGTAACTACCACTCGACCTTCTTAGATATATTTGTGAGCTAATAATTGAAGCAAAGTTATTTGGAAAAGAATTAAGATTTTTAATTCATTTAAAACACATAGCAAATTCTTTTATGCGAGTGAATATAAACCCTTAATGATTATTTAAGGTTAGATCGCATAGTACCAGCGATATATGCACTTCTTCAATCCTGTCGTAATATACGAATATGCAGTACACTGGTGGGTAGAGCCGTTTTTTTTTGTTGTTACCATCTTTTAGGCGCCTTGTTATTTTGTGAAAAAATGACCGCCTTCTAGCAAGCATTGAGATCATATAAAATATTTGTAAATACTATTAAAGGCAAAAGTGAGACAAACTTAAGCACATAATATGAATATAAATGAAATAAACACAAAATTAAAATTTTTCAAAACAAAATTTATTATTAAGTAATGCGTTGTAGTTTTTTTCGCGCTTGCAAGTAATTTAAAGTGAAGTAAAGTAAAATATATTATATGTTTTAACATTATGCTCATATTAGATATACATTTATGTATATTGTTTTATAGTTGAGTAAGATAATTGGCGTTAAAAGTATTTCGTTTAATTAATTAGTTAAATTGTGTTAAATGTAATGCCAACATACTTAAATTGAAGGAAAATTACAAACGAATTTATATATTAAAGCTAAAAACGAACAAATGTAGCTAAATTCAACTTATATGAATATAAACAAAAATATTCTTGTAACTGATAATAATAATATTAATAATAAGGAAATTGAAACAAAAAAATAAACATTATATTACCCTTGGATAAGTTGTTGTTGAAATTCAGTAGTAATATATATGCGTGCATATTTTGGTAATTTCTTTTAATATTTTACTAGAATTTATGCTTAGTTTATAAACAAAAACAAAAAAAATTAACTAGACTAAATAAATTTACGTGATTTGAGCTAGGAAAATATTTTATGTATGTATATTTACGACCCGTGGAGGCAAATACACTGGCTTTGTTAATATTTTAGTTACTTAAAACTGTTTTATATACTTATTTTTTTCGAATTTCACTTGCGAAACTCGAACGATATTTGAAGTGTTCAAAAATTATATTTCTTCTGTGTTTGACTTAACATAAAAAGTAATGAAACTATGCATACATAGTTATACATTTGTATGTACAAAAGCTTCACATAATAGTGCAAATATTCTGTTATTATTATTATTTTTTTTCAAAGTACGTATGTAAGGAATAGACATTAAATTGTATTGGTGTTTAGATGCTTGCATTAAGCTGTAAAAAAAATTGAATGTGCAAATGAGCTTGTGCCAATTGAGTTATTGTAGTATATAGATTTGCCAATATTTCACATAACCGATTTAAGCCACAGAAAACTTAACGTTAGAGTCTGATTCTTTTTTATACCGCTGCTCAATGATTTGATCGTTTGCTAGAATTTTGGCATACAGGTGTGTGTTGCGAAATCATATTTACCGATTTAACAAGTAACGTTTCAACAAAAAATTAAAAATAATAAGATTGAAAATTTAGAAGCGAAAAATTTTACACTTGAAATATATATTGCCATTTTTTGTTTAATTAATTTTTATGAAGAAATATTTTAAATGTAATTTTTTCATATTAAAAATTCACACAACTTTCATTATTTCATAATTTTATGATTGACAGTTTTACATGGTCTATAGAAATATATGTACATATGTATATCGACTAAGTTCGTAATCAAAAAAATGTTAAATAATGAAAGTTGTGTGAATTTTTAATATGAAAAAAAGATGTGTATAAGAGACAGCTTTAAAACCAAACGAGGCGATCTTAAAAAAGTAATTAAAAAAATTAATAGTTAAAAAAATTAAAAAGTACGTTTATTTCTAAAAGTGTATTGATTTATGCTCATTGTATACAACAATATGAGCTAGCATTATAAATTCGCAGCATTTTCCGTGACGTGAGCTAAACATATCTTCACTTTTGTTCTCTTTTTAGCTTTCATAAAAAAACATAATTATTTTAAATTTCATATGTGTTGTTTTTACGCTTTAGAGTACGCACTAGAATAATCATATTTACAATTTATATTTAAATTAACTTCATTACATTTTTTGATTTAAGACAACTCGAAAAGTACACTTCACTTAGACTTAGTACATACGTATCTGTTTGGTGGCCATAATTTAAATAACGTTATAATCGTTTGCTAAATATATTCAATTTCATCTTTTATTATTAATTTTGTTATGTAATAATGATTATAAATTTTTTATTTTATTTTTTGATATACAAACTAATATTACGCATATAATTATGCGTGTCTATTCCGTTTGCTTTGTTTAGTGTTTTTTGTGTTGTAGACACGTAAAACTGTTTGGTTTTGCTAAAATGTTATGTTTTTTTTTTGTTTTATGTTTCATTTATGTATATATACCACGTATATTACTAAAATTAGGAGAAAATTGTATACCATTGCTTGTGTTTTAAACATTAATGGAATTTATAGTAAACAAATAGATTTTTGTTGCTTTTTTGTTGGCTATCCTGGCGCCATTCCATTTCAGCTGTTTATTTTTTTGTTTTTATATGCATATTTATAACTTCATTCTGTTTTCGCTTTTTATTTTTGGTCTCGTGCAAATATTTCATTGAGATACAAATTTCTATAAACCCATTCATCTCAATTAACTATTACTAAAAAAAATTATGCATTTGTTCCTTATTTATTTAAAAGCAGTCATTATCATAACTTTTGTTTTTTCACGATTTTTCGGTATATTTCAATTATTTTATTATTATATTTATTGCTCACATCTTTAAATATCGTTTAAATTGAACTATAGGTACAATAAGCTTTCAACGCTATTTTCATTATATTAAATACTAATTACCGTTTTAGTACTTGCAGTAAAATATTATGAGTTAGTTTATACATACATAAAAAGTAAACACTAGCGTGTAATAAGAACAGTACTTAAATGCGTTGAGGAGAAAAAACTGGTAAATAAATAAAAAAAAAAAAAAATAAAACAATCGAATAGTCGAATTTATAATTGAAATTTGTGTAGTTTGTTTTGTGGTTTTATATTTATACCTGATTTTTTACTTCCAAACACTACACTCAGTTGAACCGGATTAAAATTTTATTTTTAACCTCAAATACCAAATTGACAAAAGCTAAGTTTTCAATTTTTACTATTAAATTAAAAAATTAAATTTTAAATTTTGGGATTAAAAATAAAAGTTCTAATTTTTGATCCAAAAATATATTTTTGAATTGAAAAATTCCCAACCTTGGTCTAAATGTGGTGAACGCATAACTAATTAACAATTAAATTCTCAGCAATACAACTTATTAATTAACTGTTATAAATTTTCATAACTTGTTTAAACTTGAAGATAATTTTTTAATTAAAAAAAAAAAAAACTCAAATGCCACTGGTTAAATAAAATATAAACAAAAACGCGTGTAACCATTTTAAATGACGTTTGCATAATACTTATGTTTATAGAGCTTTTATAAAAGAAAAACAGTCCTTAACGCATTTAATATGTACTCTTCTTCGTTACACGCAAAGCAGCAATAGCCTATTATTCCCGCTGGCTTTTAAATGAAAGCATAACTGAATTTACAAAAATAACTTATAAAGATGTGAAAAGTAAATATGTAGTAATTTTCACCACATCTATAGCCCACTATGAATTCTAGTTCCACCATAATGCGCAAAAGATGCGCCAATCATTTATATACGTGACGTTGACGCAACGTTCGTAGCGTGCCAACCGGTACTAAATGCACCGCTGTCGACGGTACAACATCCTTAATGTTACTTTCATGCTTGGCATTCAGACTCCCACTTTGGCTGTGTTTATGTCGCGCCTGTCTTTCCGTATTAGTCATGGCCTTGAAGGTTGCTTTTGATATGGGTGTAATGATTTCGCCATTTTGTTGCTTTGGAAGCATTTCCTTAGTGTCCGCACTGATATTGGCACGCCTATCATTTTCTTCGCCTTCATTGTTTTCCCTTTTTATGTCATGTGTATGTGTATTATTAGCGTTTGCCGTGTCCTCTTCTTGTTCCTGAGCTTCACTCGCCTGTGGTGTTTGATATTCATAGTAGCGACGTTCGATTTTGAAATAGCGTAATGCATTTTGTGTGCTAAATAGCAAAAGCGTGAAAAAGCGATAACGTGCTTTGAAGCGTTGTGCATATTTCGCACGCATTTGCGTTGACACACCGAGCCAGTTGTTTTCATCATCGTATGTGGGCATGCGTATACTACGTCGGTTGCGGCGTGATCGTATGGTTTTCGATTCGGCTGCTAATGTCAACTCAGGTTTGCTACTTATACTGTCTTTTTCAGCACGCATATTCTCTTCTGCAACGTCAGTGTTTGGCATTAATTCTAACTCACTTTCCTGTTTTACTGTGTCCAATGCTGCTTCTTTACTCATAGCGCCAGTCTTAGTTTTCTTATTTGCCAATTGCTTACGCGTACGCAATTGTTTTACATTTCGCTGCTTTATTGTATTATTCGTACGTAGATCTTGTGTTTGTTCATTTGTCTCCAACGTTTTGCCGATTTCATTATTATTCGTCTTATTGGTTTCGTTAGCCATATAATTAGTTTTCAGTTCACTAAACGCTTTCTTAGCTTTAGTACCAGCGTTCTTCTTAATTGCACTTATATCTCCTTTTGTCTTTTCAAGGACTGGTTCAGTCTTCATTGGTGCTGCCACATTTTCTGTTGATTGATCCTCGTCAATATCAACTGCAGCAATTTTATTTTGCTCAATCTGTGCTAATAGTATATCAATATAGTTCATTTTACGTTCAATAATTTCGTCCTCATCGAAACCAGCAAATCCATTCACTTCCACTTCATCCTCTATCATGCTATCGTTCAGTTCGTCGGCGCTTACAGTCTTTTCGCTAGTAACACACTCAAGTTCAATGAGTTCACCGCTCTCAATTGGTTCTCCACTTGCTTCTAGTCCATTCAAACTATTTACACTTAATGTTTGGCGTTCGATCAGTGTGTGGTCAGAGGATTTACTGCGTCCGAGGCCGCTGGTTGTGTCGCCTTCAGACTCGAGACGGTTGTGTGTCGATTGTGTATCGGATTCGTGCGATGAGTTGGCTTGTTGTTGTGCCTGCTGTTGCTGCCATTCATTATAGTTGTCTAGTTCATCGGCTTCCAGCACCGCTGGTTGCTGTTCTCCTATTTCGCCTGCTACTTCCTTCTCCGTCTCAACCATTTCATTTCGTTCAGCACTAACACCCTCCACATTTTCATACACAACATTTGCATCAGCACCATCTACGCTCATATCATAGTCTACGAGTTCATCTACATTCGTCACGACGGCGCATTCTTCCGTCAGCTCGGCTACCGCCACATCCTCATCTCTTTCTGTGGCAACCACTTCCTCAGCATCATCCTCCTCATCAGCAGAGTGTTCAACTTCTTCTGATCGTTGGCGATTCAAGCGGCACAGCACCTTTTGTAATTCATCGAATTTCGCGAACAAAAACTGATGTCCCAGCAATCCTTCGATAGACGCACGCTTCACGGATTCCCGTTGCAAACAGAAATCTACAATTAGTTGCCTCATTGCAAGTTTGGCATTCTTCCAACGCGACGATTTAGTTTGCATTTCACCATCCATTATACGCTGCCTCACGACACGGTCATGAATTTGCTCATTCTGACTGCGCCTGAACGGAGGATGGCCCATATACATGGCGTATAGTGTTGCGCCGAGACACCACACGTCATAGGCTTTGGAGTACGTTGTGCATTGTGGATCTGCAAGACTTTCTGGCGGTGCATAGTCGAGTGTATAACGGGGCACATCTTGCCAAGTGTCGGCCTTGGAGTTGTAGCTGAAACAAACATAAATTATTGGTTAGTTAACATCAACAAAAATGCGTAAGGATGTAGCTTCATAAAAATTATTAAAAATGGCTTAGTAAACTCACCTGGCAGAGCCGAAATCGACCAATTTGATACGTCTCATTTGCGTATCGGTAAATAATATATTTTCCGGTTTTATATCGCCATGTATGAAATTCTTCGAGTGCAAATATTGCACAGCATCACAAATTTGTAGGAAAATATCACAGCATTGTGACTCAGAGAGACCGCCAGACGCATGTACCAACTTTTGCAATTCACCGCCAGCCACATGTTCCATCACAATCCAAATATTCGAGCCATTTCGGTATGTATCAATATATTTACAGATATTCCGATGATTACACGATCTCAAGGCATCTACTTCGGCAGGGCGATATAATTTTTCAGACACCACTTTAGCCACGTAATTACAATGCTTTTCGGTGTCAGTTAGTGTATAGCAGCTGCCGAAGCTGCCATAGCTCAAAACGCCACCTAATTGAAGCGTGGGCGGACTATTTGTTGGATTCTAAAAAAAAATTGTGCGTGGTGAATAAATTTGAAATGTACGAATTTAGGCATGTGGGCTCTTACCATCAACGGATCTTTGCAATACTCAACGTCATAGACCTTTTGTAGCGCTTTGCGCGATTTCAAGTGTTGCGGCGCCACATATGAGTAGCCACGAAACAATCTATGGGTATTAACAGGAACCGGAGCTGGGGAATCAATCACTGGTTGTTTGGTAAATTCCTCGCTAAAATTTTGTGTGTCATCTTCGCTATCTAGATTGGGCTTGAAGGGCGCTTTTCGTCTTTTACTCTTCAACTCATCCCAATCGATACCTTTGAAGAAGGGATGCTTTTTGATTTCGGCAGCATTTTTACTGTTACCGCCTGAAAATATGTAATTATTTTATATTCAAATTAGAAAAAATTAAAATTTAATAAAATCAGACGTTTAGAAAAAAATATTAAAAATTGAAATTGCTCGTTTTCACAATACGACTTTTTTCATATTGTCATACTTGTTGAGCGCTTACTATACTTTACAATCATATGTTTTAAATTTTAGTTTTTTATTTTGTTGTAGAAAACTCACCTAAACGCTTCTTGGGATCCTTATGTAGCATTTTCAGTATAAAGTCTTTGACTGTATCATTCAATGTGGCTGGCAGCACTGGGTCGACTTTTTGTATGCGACGTGAAATGTCGACTTGAGAGTTTTGTTGTTCGACAACGGTAAAAGGCGAGGCGCCAGTGAGCAATTCATATGTGAGCACACCCACAGACCACCAATCGGCAGCGAGATCATGTCCAGTAGCACCAGCGCGTATGATTTCTACAACGAAGAAATTTATAAAAAAAATACTATTTAAAAACAAAATATTTTAATGTAGATGTACCTGGTGCCATGTATTCTAATGTGCCACAGAAGCTGTGCGCACGATGATCCGAATCGGGTTCGAATATCTTTGATAAACCAAAATCGGCCAACACTATGTGTCCCTGTCCATCTAGTAAAATGTTTTCGAGTTTTATATCACGGTATATGATACCCAATTTGTGCAGATGCTCCAAAGCAAGCACCACTTCGGCAATGTAAATGCGTACGGTTGCCACCGAAAAATGCTCGGCCGTATAGAGATGCGTAAAGAGTTCGCCGCCACTGACGTAATCTATTAGGTGCAAGTATATATAAAATTTAGACAATATTCTTGTCAAGACTTGGCAAGTGTTATAATAGCTTACCCAAAATTAAATATAATTTCGAATCCGTTTGGAATGCATAATGCATGCCAACTAGGAATGGACTTTGTTGTATAGCCTCGAGAACCTGCAAATATTCAAAATATATTGAAATGTATTATTTTTATCATATATGATCCAATAAACGAAGCTGCTTAATAAATATAAAATTTTAAAAAGCCTACAAAAATGTCAGAGTCAAATGATCCGATAACCATAAAATTTCCTGAACCTTCTGCATATAGTTATCCATACAATGTACTACGAGTTTTTTTGTTTTGCAAGCGAAAACTACCAAATTTGGGTAAACCTCTAAACCGCAGATCGCTAGTCATTTTAAGCATACTATCTTCTAGCAGAGAATTGAATTTTTGTTTTATTTACGGATAATGCCGAAATCATTGCAGCAATGAAGGACCTGCTTTCACCGCCGCGCCGAAGATCGGGTGTAAGCTTCTTCTTTTAGACTGTCATATTTGGTGTGCCTCTTAAGGGATTACATGGGTTTAAAATATCGATTTTTATTGGCTTATTAAATTCTAATTTTGGCTTATTAAATATTGTCTTAAATTTCCAAGATGATCCGAGTAATAGTTTCGGATATACAACCTTGAGAACACTTTTTCTCGAATGGTAAGATTTCTCGAGAACTACTCAACCGATTGTCATGAAATTTTACAATTCCAATTCTTAAAGACTTAGACGAAAGATTTTTTTTTTCGATTACAAACACGTACTTTTTTACTTTAGATGATCCTATAAGAAGTTATCCTGCCAACGCGGGCGAATTTTTTTTCCGAGGGGTAACCGGAAATGGCGTCGCAATGGCCGAGCATAAAATATTTATTTCCAAAAATTTCAGAATTTCTTTGATAATAGTGTTTTTTTGTAACAATAAAAAATTCCAATAAAATATTTAATTTTTTAAGAGAAATCAATTTTTGAAAAAAGGCTGTTTTTTTACACCAGGAAACCTATTTTAGCCTTTGTATAACCACATTCAATATCAATATCATTCGCGTTTCTTTCAATGATTAGTTGCAAACCAGTTACTGTTCCAAATGAAATAGTTCACTAATTTACCACCTGCAGATTGCTCTGCATGATATGCACATAAGTAACCGTATTTATTTTGCGACGTGCTTTTGACTCTTCAGTATCACGTTGCATGATTTATATATGTATATGTAATATACTAATATACATTCATCTCGACATGTGTAAATACAAACACATATGGTGCATCTCAGCTGTGTTAATAAACCTCTAAAATATTCAGAAGAATATTTCGTTTTCGTATTGGTAACCAATCGTCCACAACGTCGGCTGCATTTCTAAATATTCTATTCACGCACGCTTATTCTTTTTCCATGCGCATAAAAGCATGCATATTCTCTATATATTATGTGTGCGTTTTTATATATTGAGTACATATGTATATATGTATATGTATGTATGTATTTAGGATCGGTGTACGTGCGTTTTGTTATGAACGATGCCAACGAAAGCATAACAAAAGCACAACAACAACAACACGACCGACGTTGCAATTAACAACAACGCACGGTGGGCAAGAAAATGATTGAAGAAAAAACTATTAATATGCATTTATGGTAACGTACACAATATTCGAAATCGAAAGGAAAAAATTTCCAGTTCAAAATATACAACTCGCCAGAAAAAGAGAGTTTGGTGTGAATATAGCACAGTTACGAGACGACGGGGCCCCTTAAGCCCCGAAAAACTTCAGTTACTTATTTTCAAAAAATAAGTGAGCAGTAAGAATATGTTCTATGACTTAAAAATGACAAAAAGCACAATCGTAGCCAATATCAGTATATTTTGTGCATTCAGCTGATTTCGATATGCCCCATTTTATATCGAGAAGCTTTTCCAACCTTAGTATGTACATATGTTTGTGTACAAAAATTTACACATATGCACTTGCATGCATTCAATTAAATATACAAATTTACACTAATAAATATCATAGTATATTGAGTACGTTAGCACAGCGTATGTAGTTTGGCAATAAAGTGGGAAAGATGTTGTATTTTCAATTTGTTCTGCTTTCCATTTTGCTGAATTCGTGCTTTACTTTCACTTCCATCTTTTTATGCCCACTTATTCGTATACTTATGCTTTTAATTTAAAATTCAGCCTTCTTATCTCTTTCAAAGAGATTGCTGGAATTGACATAATAGTACGACTATTTGATTGTCTGTATACTATAAGTGTATTCAAGGAATCTTTTCAACTTTTTACTGAACACATTGAATTCTTTTGTAGATTATAAGGCGTGATTTCCGTATGCATATCGGCTACATACAGATAAGCCCTTCAAAAGGTAATAAATTATGAGTAATAGATGAGGAATACTTCGCCCTCTTAAAAAATTTATTATATTATTTTTTGGTACATTTTTTGTTTACATATTTCGTTCCATAGGGTTTATACACTTAAAAATAACATACCAATATTTTTAATGAATATTTTAAATGTCTTTGTGTTCTAAACTCTAGCTTAGAATAATCGCTTAAGCAACAACAAATTCAAATTCATGAAACAGAATCTCACAAAATGCTGACAGTACAGTGGAGAATGTATTGATGTCAATATAGTGCCTAATAATGTGTCAATAGGTGTATTTTTGTGCAAATAAGACGTATCGTTTGAATTATTATGAAATTCTGAACACCTTGGTTATTTCCATCAACACAAGTCGCTTTGATTTGTGATTTTAACATTCGTCACGTGCATGCATATGTAAATACATATGTATGTAGTATATACATATGTACGTCTCATCGTGCACAAAGATTCCCGAGTGAGAAGAGCTAATACATAATATAGTGCGATGACTGCAGTGAAAATCTATTGAGCTGCCGATGACACGGCTAAACTATTAATCACAACAGGTAGCTGTAGCAAAAAAACATATTTGTATACAAGTGTGCATGCCCGCATATTTAGTATTTATTTTTATTATTTATCAATAGCTCTGTCGCGTTGCAATAAAGAAAAAACAATTTTTATATTTGGAGCCGATGGCCAACGACACGGTGCAAGCGCTGCAATTCTACGTAGATATATACATACACATGTGTATATGTATATATGAGTAAGTATATAAGGTACTTGTGTACATAGTATAAGGTAAACGTTGTTACTTCAGATTCGTGTGGCTCGGCCGACTCAGCATTTAATTTAACAGCTACTGCTATTGGGGCTTATATATTTGGACATTGTTGTTGTTGCATACTTGGATTATTTTTAGCTTCAATGTGAATTCAACATTTACAAGGACTTGTTTGCAATTCTCGAAAAACATATATGTATACTATATGCAATGTCAGCAACGCATGCTTATTAGCGTGCGCTTTCAATTTATTTTTTATTGTTTATATGTAATAATAAAGCAATCAAACCCATAAATATGTGTAAGAATTTTAATAAGACTTCTGGTGCATAACCATAGGTATATATGTATTATTTTCCAGCAAACTGTATGCGAAAGAAAGATGAGCATTATTTATTCAGTGAAAGTTGAGTGATAAATTACCAAGCAGTTATTTATAAAATTGGGAATCCCCTTTTTGGATGATTGTGCATACAAAGCATAAGCATATGTACATACATATGCATATGTATTTACTTATGGATGAGGTAATGTGTGAGCTGACAACTTGTCGTTGAAAGGGGATTTTTCGAACTACTTGAAACTAAAACAAGAAAAAACGTTTTAGTTTAGTTTGTTTGACAGCTAATTACATGCTATAGTGAAGCAATATCGGCGATTCCGACAAATCAGCAGCTTCTTGGGGAGGAAAGAACATATGCAAAATTTTGGTTTGGTATCTCGAAAATTGAGAACCTATACCTGCTTATAGTGTATACCTAATAGGGTATTAGTATACACTGTTTAGGATATAAAAATTTATGTAAAGAGGCTATGGAATCCGAATACTAATATTTTCAAAGAAACCGATTATTTTTGAATGAAATTCAAATCTTCTCAGTATTATCACCCGTTTAATCGAATTCAAACAATATCGCAGGGGTCACGCAAAAAAAAAATCAGGATTTGTCTTTACGAACATGACAGGATTGTGTCTCCATTAAAATTCCTGAAGTACAAGATTTAAAATGTGAACATCTCTTCATTAGCTAGATCAGCAGGTCTTTGTTAATTTGATTTCAATTGGTAATAGACGGTTTTTAATGCAAAGGAGATATCGAAGCTATTGAGCACCACTTAAATAATAGGTGTTAACCTAAAAACAAGAAATGTTAAGAAATAATATTTGCAAATCAAATGTTCATACATATATGAAATCTTAATCTTAAATATTTCTGACTCTTAGTTTTTAGCGCTGAAAACTTCATAAACTAGGACAAAATCAAAAAAAGCGCACAATAAATATGTATGTATGTAGTACACCACTTTTGAATATGTAAAAACTATTCCGATATCTACGCAATATCTATAGCATATCTGTCTATCAACACCTATACACGCACATTATGTTTCTAAATAAAAAATGAAAACAAATCACTGAAGCAAAATTTCTGCAAAAGCACAACCCAGTGAGGGAGTTTGTATGTGTGTCACTTGTTTAGCCAGCAACCACAACTCCAAGCAACCAAAGTGCCAGCCGAAAAACACGTTGCCAACACGAACAATTTACATGCACACACATGCAAGTATCTAACTCAAGCGCAACCTGGTAATACGAGGATTCCGAAGGTAAAGCATCAAACGAAGTGAAAGTGAATCTGTTTTATGTACGAATAGCGGTATATAACCACAAATGCTAAGCTTTCTTTGATTTTCTAACTCTCCGCAGTTTCATTTATGGATGCGCGGTTTGCATTTCACTTTTACTTGAACTGCAATGCTTATGTGAGGGTACTCTAATGCATATGCACTCATAAATTTGTCTTGCTTTTTAGTGATTTCTATAAAGGTTTGAGTTATTACTTTGTATGATTTTTGTCATATGTACATATATACTATACATATGTATCAATGTATAATTAATGTAATGTAATGTAATGTATCAATGTATAAAAAGTACATTGAAATTA